AATGAAGAACATTTCCAAACAGGTGATTCTTCTTTAACGTTATGAAACCAGTGTGACTCGGACATTTAAACAAACCTGTGAGAAAGAAATCCTCGTTGTTACACAATGACACATGTAGAAATGACATCTGGGGATGTTTGAGACTGAAACATTTAAGACTCATAATTTGTTTTTGCTAAATTCAGCTGGACTCGACTGAAACAAACACTGTACATAAGAAAAAAGATTCTTTCTGCGTAGATTAGTTCTTGCTGTTTGGCTGAGTGCGTGTTAAGATGTATGCGGTCGTCTTATCAGATGTCAAGTCACGGTGACTGTGTAAGAACATTTATCAGCAGCCCACACGTTGATACTGATGAACATTGTGGTAAGAGCCCAAAGCGAGTTAGAAACACCCAAGGAAATGGAAGTAAAGTCTCAATTAACACATCTAGTGTGGTTCATCTGCTCTGATCAAAAATGTGCCAGAAGAGGATTCAAGGGTTTCTTTTAGTTGCACTTGCAGCAAAGAGTTTACAAGTAAATGAAAATGCTGTCATTAAACGCTGCAGCAGGACTTCGTAACAAGCTTGTTTTCCTCAATACGAGCTGAAGGTTTCGTGCTTTGTCAAATTCAGTGTCAATAACAGCTTAAGCACAGCTGTGAAGGTGTTTCTGACGCAAAACAAAGTTCGTTTTCTGTCTCTACAATCCTACAGTTTTAATCAAAGCAACTTTATTGAGATGAACCAAACAGTAGCCTATTGCAGCAAAGGTTGCCAGATCTTAGTTTTGTCAGCTGTAATCTTATTTGAGTCGGCTCTGAAATCCAGGCAGTTTCTTGCCGTTTTTTTGCTCCTGTCACATTTTTGCTTATATAAAGTCCTGCACCTCTACGGAAACAGAACAGCCGTGGATAGAGGCAGAGAGAAATCAGAAATAAGTTTCAGGCAGTATGACCGTTACAATGCCAGGAATCATTATAAAAGAAAAGAAATTAAGTTCAATTTTACTGAAATTCCTTATAAAAATTGTAAAAAGAAAACAACTGGAATGCCCTCTGGTGTTGCCAATACTGGAAATAAAAGGTGGCTCTACATGCTATGGATATTTTCCTACTTAGATTTTTGCTTTGTGTCCACGTTTGTCTCGTCTCTAGTAAACACAGCCTGCAGTTGTGTCACATGACTGTGGAGTCCCTCATTTTCTCTCAGTTGTGCTAAGAATGTTTGTTTTTTGTCAAGAACCTTATTAATGAGCAAAACTGAAAAGGAATTTGTTTGGAATTTGTTGGATTTTGTTAGAATATCACAACGTTACACTTAGATTCCCTGATGGAACCACACATGCTGAGCTTAGTGAGCATCAGAACACTGATACTTTCTGTTTTACGGTTTCAGGCTCAGATAAATATAGATAAAGATAGATAAAACAGTTATTTTTCATTATAAATAGCACGACAAGTGGTTTCTTGAATGATCAATTGATTGCAGCAGCTATGTGAATGTCAACATATTGAAAACTACCAGCTGTAGCATCCCCAGTCCAAGGTGGTGTATTTAGAGACTCTCGCTTGTTTATTATTTTCAACCAATATTTCAAAGCCGAAATATATTCAATATGAAATGAAGAAACACACACACACGTAGAGCGAACCTTCTTTTCAAAGAGAAAAATGTCTAAAATGATTAGTTGGAATTTTCTGTTTTTACAGCTGAGCTAATCCACGACTACATTTGTGAATATTGTAAAACACTGTAGACATAAAATACCTGCAGACAAAGAGATTCCACTGAATGGTGATAGATGATGTTATTTTCTTTTTTCTGGGTTGCTTATTGCTATATTTTATTTTGACAATTTTTTTTTTCTCTGCTTCCTCGTTACTCTGATGCAAAGAATTTTAATAAAGATCAGTTCATCATTCACACACTGTCCTGCGGTCGCTATTAACAGCTGAAACCAGGAAGGGTTGAGCCAGCGTGGTCACACTGCTGCATGTTTAAGCTCTCTGCGGGTGATGCTGCATGTAGCTGTGGACCGGACACCGCGCCGCTTGTTTGTGTTTGAGAAACTGCTGTTTCTGCAGACTCCTTTTTGTACTTCATCATGTTTTTCCTATTTGTGTTGTTCAGTCGTGGCCATTATTTGTATTATTACAGCTTGACACGACTGCTACACTCTTCACGTATGTGCGAGACAGAGAATAAATAAGGATAAAGCGTTGTTGATTTTTTTTTTTTTTCTCCCTTCCCAGCCTTTTTGAATGGTCTGAACCTGACAAAGCACTTTATTATTGTCTGCAGACATGTTGGAGATAATAAATAATGTTGCTGTGTTTTGTGGAAGCTGGAAAACAACACAGAGTTCAATCTTTTGGTGCTGCTGATTGTAACAATGGGCTGCAGTGGTGTACAGGGCTTTAACCAGAGCCTCAGACGTACCCGCAGTTTAGTCCAAACAATATTGGTGACGATTTATTTATTTATTTATAAAATAAGGTTTGTACTGTATGACTTGTCTAAAATATTGTAGGCCTAAGAAGAATGGCCTCACGAAGCTGTCTCAGAGACAAGGCGAGCCATCACTGGGACTGAGAAGACTCATTTCTGCCCTTGAGTCTAATCCAGTGGTTCTCAAACTGGGGGTCGGGACCCCTATGGGGGTCCCAAGATAATTTCAGGGGGTCGCCAGATCATTGTAAAAATAAATAAATAAATAAATCCTACATTTATCAAATACATTTGTATTAGGGCTGTCAAAATTAAATGTGTATACTTCTTCCTATTCCTTTTATGAAATTGTCAATATTATGATTCGATTACGCAATATTCTTATTCTTTGTTGCTCTTTTTAAACACTCTTTTTAAAATTAATTCATTTTGTTTTTATATATTTTTTTCTTTTTCATTTGTTCTAAATAAATTCAAATCATTCATTCATTAAAAAGAAAATTAACACGTTAATGTTAAGAGATTAATCTGTGGAATGAACACATTCATTTTTAATGCATAAATACATGAATAACAAAGTTATTACTCATGAGTTATTAAAAATTCAAACTGGGGGGTCACGAACACAAACTTATGTTATCTTGGGGGTCATGGCTCAAAAAGTTTGAGAACCACTGGGCTAATCTATCTGATATGTTGCTTGCTGAAAATTAGCAGTGTGTACTTATCCTTTCTGGGGAAGCATGTTTTTATGCATCGGCCTTCTATTGCTCCCTATTTCATAGTATGTTTTGAAAATGTTCCTGTGAATCACACCTGTTTTTGGCACTTAGTGTATATTAAAAATAAAAAGAAAGAAAGAAAGAAAAGTATTGTATTGCATTGAAGTAAAGAATCTGTAATCACACTACATCAGCCTCAGTTAATGTTTGCAATCTAGAGAAATGTCCTTGTTTATAAGTCAAAGGTCGTCTCCGAACACTGTTTGCTTTACTGGCAAACAGCACCGACTCTGATTTCAGTCACACGACGTTAAAACCAGCTGAACACTGGTGCCACCAAACATGAGCTCTTGGCATCTTGAGTTGACCTGTGGTGTCAGGGGCCTCCGTGGTTAAGGTTGTGCTGGTGCATCCAGTTGTGAAGCCCTGGAGCCCTTTCTCAGCGTAGAAGTGCGGCGTGCTCGATGTTTCGGTGGCTGGTTTCCCAACAGAACATTGCATTGTAATGAGATGATCAATGTCATTCACTTCCCTTGTCAGTGGTTTTAATGTTGTAGCTGATTAGGGAATGTTTCCAGAAAACATTTTCAACATTAGAAGTAAAAAAGAAAAAAAAAAAAACAACTTCACTTTCATTCTTAGGATAAAAAAAAGAAAAAATAGGTAAGTATTTCAGTTGCACAATGGGGACTGGTGGTTTTGCCTTCTAACAGTTCTAAACACACCAGGGCCTGTTTGAACGTTTTCTGCTCGATGCTCACATGGGGTCCCTCTGGGTGCTCTGCTTCTCTCACAGGTATTTTTCTACAGTTGCCCTTCATCAAAACACTGGCCTCAGACCTGGAGTTGGTCCCCAGACAGCTCCAGCGCTGTGGCTTCCTAAAACGGTTCAAATGCAGAGGACAAATTTCCCCAAAGGGATTATTGAAGTGTAACTTAACTAAAAATATCAAACAGGAAGTAGCAAATCCTTGTTTTAACCTTTGGAGCCACATTGTGTTACCACGAGGACAATGCTGTGCCCGTGAACGCTGCAGCTTTATTTGAAATGCTCATGTGGAACAGTCAATGATGTGGTGCGTTTGGATATAAATACGGGTTTTACAAGATATTTGAGGCTTAAATTAAAGAAAAATCTATACAGTCGTGGAAAAAAAATATTAGACCTCCATTGTTTTCTTCATTTTCTTGTTCATTTTAATGCCTGCTACCACTAAAGATATATTACCTGAAGAATACAATGAACACGACAAAAAAAAATGCAGCTGATTACATAATACTTTATGTCCTATTTGACATGCTTAAGCATAGTTGTATTCCCTGTAGGGTATATAAGAGCCCATTTCATGTCATAAGCAGCACTGCACATGCAAAGGCCTGGAGTAGTTTCCTGCTTATATTCAAGCACAACTCAGAAGTTGTCAGCTCTCACATAATGCCTAAAACAAAAGAATTATGTTAAGTCACAAAGGCAGCCATCTTGGCACTGCTGGACATTGGCATGAGTGAGAGACAGGTAGCGAAAAAACTGAAGATCTCCAAGACAGTTGTTCATTACACCAAGAAAACACAAGCCCAACATGGTACTACCAGATTGCTAGCTGGTCGCGGCAGGAAACGTCTTTCTACCCCACAAGATGAAAGTGTGCTCATCTGTTCTCGTGTTAGGAATTGTTGACAGACCTCCTTAAAAATGAGTGTGCACTGTGGAGAAATGTGACTTGTTTGGCAAAGACCGTCCAAAACCAACTTGTTGAAGCTGGTCTGAAGTCACACAGGGCTCAACTCCACAACACGCAATTCACATTATTCTCATTTGTTCTTTAAATTAGACAAGGAACTCATGTTTTGGTGCATCACAGTGAAGATTTATTCAAAATGAGTGACATTTCTTCTTTAATCAGTTAACATATCCAAAACTTGTCACGCCATGTTGTTTTTTTTTCTGATTCTGAACAGCAAGAAACATTTCTGTTCATCTAAAGTAAAGTTTTAAAATGGCTCTTTCAGATGGAGGTCTAGTTGACAGCAGCACGCTTCCGGTTATAAAAGCGTTGTTCCATCTCCTCTTGCTCCTGCTGGTCCTGCAGGTCCTGTTGGTCCTGCAGCTCCTGTTGGTCCTGCAGCTCCTGCTGGTCCTGCTGGTCCTGCTGGTCCTGCAGGTCCCGCTGGTTCTGCTGGTCCTGCAGGTCCCGCTGGTCCTGCTGCTGCTGCTGCTGCTCTCCCCACCGTCCATGTCTGACGGCCCTGATTGACAGAAACAAGATCAACAAAGTTCAGCTCAGGATCCAACAGGAGCAGAGGCCAAGTGTTTGTAATAACGATGGAGGCACAGGTTCTTACCCGTAGATCGCCTTGCCCACTAAAAAAGCAAGAAAGAGAAAATTAAACAGGTGAAAACATACTCAGTCTAAACTCCACACATTATACTGTTCATCATGGGATTAAAAGAAGAAAAAAAAACTACTATAACATTATTTAATTCAATGCAAAGCTTTAGATCATTTATCATCAATGCATTGTACAGCCTAAAAATTACCTATAAGATACTGCTCATACTCGTCCATTGTTTATGTCTTATAGCTGATTATAAATATTTAATATCACTGCTGAAAAAGTTGTGTCATCTGCATCAAAACACATTTTCAATACCTTTCTTTAAAGAGCATTTCATTACAAATTTAAATTGTGTAAATACTTGTCTAAAATGGGAATATAAGCAAGAGTATCTGACTCAGCATTCAGTGGCAACTTCTGATACTTTCTCTACATTAGCACATTATTGAAATGCTTTAAAATCA